TCAAGGGCTTTTAAAATGATTGACAAAGCAATAGATATACGAAATTATTAAACCAAACAATGGATTGATAAAAAATAAAACAAATAGATAAATTGATTAACACGTAACTAACTACTATAGGAATAAGTTAAAAAAAGATGATTTAGGGAATCACGTAGGAGCAGCTGTGCATAGTTAATAGAATTATCTAACGGTTTTCACTTTATCCTTTCCGTATAAATAGTCCTGTTATCAGTTGGTTATACAATTAATTTTAGTACACTGTATGTCAAATATCCTTAACTAAATAAATAAGTAAATTTACAAAAGTATAGGTATAGTTAAACCGTAGAAAACAAATCTGATATGTCCGGTATCACATGTAGAAAAAAAACATAAAACGATTATTAATATTATGGAGCGTCTCACGTTTGCTGCAGTTTTGGCCTGAGTTTACCCGGTTGTAGGTATTGTATCTTAAGTAAGGGGCTTAATTAAAACAGATAATAAACTGGTTTAACATGGCGTTTGAAAACTCCAGTTTTAACTCTATGTTACATCGGCCCTTGGAGCGCAACGGTGCTACCGAGATATTAAAATTAATGGTAAGAATTTTTGTTGTCCTGAATTTATATGAATTTAAGTTATACAGTGAACCTTTATGATTATGAAAACGTTTTGCTTTATTTTATCGTTCACTTGTCCTGAACCAGGTTATGAAATTACTGTCTCCTAAATAAGTTATTTTTTTCCTTTTTCGTATTCTTTTTTTAGACTTGATATACTTGTAGTTAAAACGGTTTGAAGCAAGGAGATTATCCAAAGCGCTTGGACAATTTTTATTTGTTTATTTTCGGACAAGACAAAATTTGTCGGCTAACTATATTTCACTCTAAATCTGCCCATTTCCAAATCTAACAGTCACGGTAGTTGGTTCAACTGAACTAAGACTTATATTTGGTGTAAATGATTGAGTCAACTTTACGTTCATTCTGCAAAACTGAACGTTTAAGGTAAAGCACATAAAACATCAGCTTTTTTGTGGCCAATTTTGCCCGGAGGCTGCGGCGTCAACACGCAAACATTTATTTCCGAGGTGACCAGTACCTTTAACCACAAAATGACCCCGTTGTTCTTAAGATGACCACAGGGCATAAGGGGCACTTTTTGGCGTACTGACCCAGTGCACTGTCTACTGGTCATTTGGCTCGCTTTGGACAAAAGATCGCCGGTGAGTTTTATACTATGGTTCTTTTAAGTGCAATTTGCGGCATTTATTGTTTTGATGTTCTTGTAACTTGTTAAAGTTTAATGATTGTGCTAGTATATGCTCTCCGTTGTTTACGTTTATTTTTTCTCAAAGAAAGTCGTAAATTGAACTTAATTCTTTTGGTGAGAATTTTGCGACAACTGACATTGTCTGACACTAATTTGTCTATATAGCAGTAATAATAGATCTTCAATACATCGGTCGTGATGTTAAATATTAATAATCTCATCACTAGAAAAAAAAGCCCCATGTATATATGCAAGTCATAGTATGGAATGTTTAAAGACAAGCATTAACCAGAGCTCGCTAAATATAATATGTAAGTACATATTTTGCCGCAAAACAAGATTTAACTCATTTGAAGAACTTTTATCATATCAATGCATTTTACATATCTTCAGGGCGTATTAAATGGTATTGAGATGTCTATTCTAAAGTACAAAGATGTACGTTTTATAAGAGAAATACAAAAATTAAGCAGGATGCAAAATATTGAATAAGAATGAAAAAGTATTTGCAACAGTTGAGAAAAAAAAAAACATATCGCTGTAAATGTACTGGAAGTCACCACTTGCGACTGCAGTGCACCAGTAAGTTTACATTACATGCATAACTTTAACCCAAAACCTACAAACTTTAACCTTATCATTTATACCTCTACCTGAACATACCGTAGACAATTACATCAGACTGTCACCTAAAGTTGGCATGGAAACCGCATTTCATTGCGCATGCGCAGTTGTGCGATAGTGTCGCGTTTCAGAGTCGTTCGATGTCAGCTGGTGCATAATTTTACAAGCAGTTCATTTGAGGTGAACGGGAAATTGGCAAAAAGTTTATAGCTTATATAAACAAACGCACTTCCCTCACGCTATATCACGATTTGCACTGTTATCCTGAGCGGGTAAAAAATGTTAAAGTTTTGTCAACATCTGACGACAATACTCAAATTCAAGTTAAGAATTATATTAATATTATTGTTTATGTCTTACTAAATTTATCATCTAATGAGACAAATAGTAGTTTTCAAATCGACGTCTTGTGTAAGAGGGTATTAAAAGGTCATGTTCAAGTTCTATGCATGCCTCCAGAAAACTACGCATCCTATTTTACAGGTATCACCTTTTCTGTGTTACATGATAATGTTAGGTCACAAACAACAGTATGAGCTTCACATAAATTGACAACTGTACCAAATATGTTATACTTTCTCAACTTTATTAATTCTAGTCCAATAATGGATTCAGAAAATACCTGTTAGAACACTCATATATAAGGACAAATAATTCACCACTAAATATGCCTATTCCTGAGAATAATTCTCTGAAAAGTGCGTAATAGTTGTATTAATATCTGAGAGATGTAATTAATTTTTCATGCTTATTTTTTGGCCTCGTTTGAATGCAGTACAAATATATGGTTGGTTTCCATCTATAATAATAATTGTATGATCAGCGTACTTGTATATATACGCTGTACAATAGATTTATACATTATGTCAATGCATTAATTCAGGCAGTTTAACACAATGACATTTTCGTCTCCGATATTCAGTAGAATCTCTCATTTTAATAGAGTTTAAGTTGATATTAATCGTGTTCTAAAGCATAACATTGTAATGATATACCGGTATCGATGTTTTTTTTTTTTTTTTTTTATAAAATACGCTAAATCCTGAAAATATCTCCATTTTACATTGCATATGTAATACTAAAATTACATGATATACATGCATATTTATTAGTACTATCAATAATGATACACAAGTAATCTGATTGCATGATGATTTACAAATAACCAGAATGCTGGTTTTCAGATAGATTTCTCAACTCCACCTTGTATTTAGTCCAGCACAGTATTGAGGAAAATCATGATCTTTATCGACTCACAAAAATAGTCCATTGCAATGGTATAAAAGTACCAAAGTCGCTGCGTCATTCATAATTACATGTATCAATTTTCAGCGGAACCCTTAAAAAGAATTACTCTTTATAGTCATTCCTACAAATGAGTCAAGTTTCATCTTTTAAATAGAAAAATTCGAATTAAAGCCGCTTGTGATGCAAAAAGGTGGAGTGTGAGCGTGCTCATTAAATAATGTTTTTAAACTTTCCACTATTATAAATGAGACGGCACCGTACGACGTATACATGTGGTCCTCTATTAAATGCAGCTACATGTTAAATGTCATCAGGTATGCTGTATATAAACCCTGTATATATCGTAGTTCATCTGTAGCTATACTTAAATATTTACCTATATAATCAAATGTATTTTAGATGTCATACAATTATTATCACCCGACACACTGCATCATGCTGCCATTTGAGCATATATAACAATTCCCATCTCTTGTCCTTAATTTACTTATTTCACGGTAAATATACCCTGTGTATGGATGGATATGATGAATTGAATGTCGCAGATTTCTCGACAGTGCATGCTTAACCTATTCTTTCATCGTGCACAGTGGTTATTGTGTGCCCCTCTAAATTACAGTTATTTAAGAACTAATTTTATCATTTAAACTTTTCACCCTATCATAACGTGGCCTTATAACTTGTACTTCATAATAATGCGTATGTTATCTTTGCTGGATTGAAACCATTAGCTAAATCAACAGAGAATATACTACTTAAAGTGATATGCCTCGGTGAAATTCCGTTTTACATAACATATCAAGGGCAGTTATACAATGTACAACATTTTACCCGAACGCTATAATAATTTTGATTTTTGCCATTCGCAAAAAAGATCTCATGTAGTCTTAGCCTGCGTCGAACATTTTTTAATAAACAAAGTTATCGGTATGGATGTATATTTACGGTAAATATAACGCAAGTTGAAGACTCAAGTATTTTCAGTTGCTAACTTTTATACGTGCGCATTACTGATATTCTGGATGTCTTATTTATGATTTTCCAATTGCTCTATGTAACGGCATTTACCAATAAAATGCTAGTCTGCGTAATAAGCATTTCTAAATGTTCAGTAAAATACAAGTTATGAAATGCATATTTTACAAACAAAAAGGATTTCAATTTTCCGCTTGACATCGACACCTTGATGTCATAGGTAAAAAATAGCAAAAAATAGTAAAAAATATCGCCATATTTTAAACACATGATTTTCGACTTTGAAAATTAAATCGGATATGACTGTTTTTGAAACGCAAAAGAGCTAAATAATATCGGAACAGATTAAATAAGAAGAAATAAAATACGTTAAGCTTAAGCTTCGTCATACGAGTTCCAACAAAAACAGAAAAAAAAACACACAGAAGGGCAGTAATCCTACCTTATTGCTCAAGCAAAGCCCAGGCACTTGATTATGGGACGGCATGCACTGATAAAATGGGATCGATCTTTTGAAAGAATAACCCTTATAAATCCCTTATAAGGCCATGTGCTTCTGTCCTCTTATCCAGTCTAATTTACTTCAGTGTCTTGTTTACAGAAGAGTCAAATTACTTCTTGTTTTCTATTTGCCGGTACTCAGCTTAAGTTCATCCGTAAACTAGTCGCTAGATTACAAGTGAGAGACCATGCAAAGCTAGGAAACTCAGTATAGGTGGATATATACTTCTTTATATTTTCGAAAGTTAGTCAAAAGACTGGGCAATCTTAATTTGTGTTTGACCCATTTGGCTTTTCGACTAGTATTTCTCTGTGTAATATTGAGCATAACAGAATCATGATTTTCACCCTTTTTATAAAATTTCCCTCGAATGCATCCCATCTCCCCCGGTCTCTCACTCAAATCCCAATCCCCAAGGACGCCATACTGAGCCGTCTTCAGTTTCGTTAGCTCGCATGACGTCATCGCTGGCACTGCTGCTTCTGTCTTCGTCAGAAAACGACTGGGAGCAAGTGGCGTCTGATGACGATGGAGAACTTGGAAGAAATTGCTCGGAAAGCGACGGCGTTTCTGGTGGGCAACTCGGTCGAGAAACCCTAGAAAAAGTTTCCGTGGTGTGAACAAAAATCCCGTCCCCGCCGCTCCCATTTGCGCTTACCCGCGGCGTAGGAACAGATGGAGTGTTTGCATATTTTGTCGCTTTCGCGCTCCGGATGTCGTCTGTGTATTCGATGCTCCCACGCCCCTTACGGATCTCCATTATAGAGATCTGCTGTTCGAAATTATATCTGTAAAGTTGTTGACTTAGCTGTACGTCTTCTTCTCCGCCAAGGCTGAGAAGGCCACCGCCTAACTGAGGTAGTTGCCGTCTACTGTTCCGAGTGTTGTTTGTAGCCAAATGATTGACAAGTTGTGCTTTGAATTCCGCAGAGTCAATGGGGTCGGTGCTTTGTCTACCCAGGAAAGCCAGCACTTCGTTGACGCACTCGGAAAACCCTGCTCTGTAGCGGCAAATGGCGTCGGAAATGTGGTCGGATGCTTTTTAAAGAATGAAAATAAAAATATGATGAGGTATAACTGCTTCAAGCCTATGATAAATGTTTATCAAATTCTGATAGTTTGGGGAATATTAATATTGTGGATACACATAAAGGCTTTAAACCAAACCACACATTGGTTTGTTTGATCCATACTTAAAACGCATGTTAACGTGGCTTCAGAGATAATGGAAGACTCTTTTGTAAAAAAAAACCATCAAATATACATCATAAGTAACGATATAGATGATAAGTTATATGAAGATTTATTTAACGTAAAATCACACATTTATTTATTAGTCAATCAATATTATCCAATTATTTATCTATTTTTATTACTTATATTATCCAATCATTCTTTTATTCATTTTTCTTTATGAAGCACACTATTCCATTCAGAGACTTTGGATCAGCACATTTCTCCTAAATTCCGAAAGATTAAACCCAAGCGCACATGCACATGTATCTTACCAAAATCGTTCCCTCTCTCCGCTCTCTGTAAAATTTTCAGGTATTTCACGGTCATCTCCAGCACGTCCGCCTTGTCCATCTTGGCTGGCCGGAAGCCCTGCTCTCTCACGTGGTCTTTGATGAGGACCTTGAGCTGGGCCAGACAAGCGTTGATTCGAGCCCTACGTTTCCTTTCTAACATGGATTTTGTGGACTGAAAAAAATATTTAGCATAAGATCAATTAAACACGTGACAAAACTTATGAATGAAATGTATGAAAAACTTTCCGTAGTCTTTATTTCTAAGTACGCACAAAAATGAAATAGGCCTTGAATAAAATGTTTGTGACTGAAATACCAAAATGGAGCCGTTTCTGAAATTAATTTCGATTTATTTATTTTGGCTTAAGCGTTCTATCTTATTACCTCCTTGCGCTCAATCTGCCAGAAAACTTATATCCTTGATGAAGAACAATATCACTGTACAACGCAAAAGCACATTTTACGACACACAGTAACTTGTTTTAGCTTTTTGCAAATTCTACAATAAAGATTAGCGAACTGAAATAACCAGTAATGAATAACAAATTGCAGCAACCATGATAAAATGTTCAACGTTTTGATCTTCCATATCATCTTAGTTCTATTGGACATTGGCCATATTTATCATTAGTCGTCAAAGAAATCCACCTCCCGTTGGTCACTATTTCAATAAATAAATAAAAATAAAAGGCGGAATAGTTTTAATCAAATAGGGAGAATGTAACAAAGGGGAGAAAATTAGAAAAATAATGAGAGAAATAAAACAGCTTTACATCCGTGATACAGGTAACTTATAACTTCGTGTGCACACAGCAGCGCGAATAACATGTATTCTTGATAAATGTTTTTACTTAAATCGGCTTTTTATGGGACGGAAATCGTATACATACTGTACATCTCAAAGCGTTTTTTCTTTTTTTACTTCATGCCGAATGCCGTCTTCGTTTTTTCCTTTTCGAGCCCTTTTTTATTTCGTACGAAATCCATTCTCCTCTCTAGTTTTTCCGACGACCTTTCGTTTGACTAAGGCGCTTTATATGGTTTAAAAAATTAATTGTTTTATTTAGCTAAGATGAGGCTGTTCGATCAGAGCATTTTGACAGAACTTAAAATTTGCATTGCACTTATTGCGCTATTCTCTTTACCTGAAGTAACTTAGCCACACTAAATAAAATAGAATAAATGATAATTTATATAAATTTTTAGTAGTAGGAAAATCGCTTATTAAAAAGAAAAATAAATAAAAAATACTTAATAAAAAAATAAATAAAAATAAATAAAAGCAATTCGCACTACACTGCATAAAGTGTTGCATGATGCACAAATGTTATATAATGATTTACAAATCTATCGATTACATTAACATCTATTCAAATTTGTTACTTTTTATCAGAATTATCACAAAGAAAGGTACGTTAAATTTTTATAAAACGTTGAAGTGGGATACGAACATATGCCTATTCATCATTGAATCAGACCAATCAAACTGTTGTTTTGTTTATTGTTTTTCGAATCTTGATAGCAAATGCCATTTAAATTATTTAATCTACTGAGCCCACATGAACATTTCAATATCCAGATGGGTTTTGTCGTGATTTGGTATCTGTAAAGGCTTAAAAATCATTTGTAAGATGTAGCATATATGACTTTAATAGCAATAAAAATCGTTTCAATCTAAAGGGATTAAGAATAAATCTTGGAGTAAGGTTTGAGCAGTGAGAGAGAGAGAGAGAGAGAGAGAGAGGGGGGAGAGGAGACGAACTGAAGGGAGAACTACCAACCTTGCCTCTTCCATAAGCTGCTTTTTTGGTCGATACTCCCTCCCCATCTTCTTCGTCCATTTTTCTGCTGTCAGCAAAATCTGAGTTCATTATAAATTAGATCCGCAGCAAAGCCGCCTCCAAAGTAAAACGGTGCAACCAAGGCTGTTATCTATTATTTTTGGTTAATTGTTTGACAGTATGTTGGTTTCAATTTATTTTCGCCCTGGAGTGATCGACTAAGCAGAATCTTTCACTCTGCGGCGTAGGATTTTGCCGAGCATCGTGTCCTCGCTCCTTCGGACAAATACTTTAACACCCGCACTGTAGATAACTCGGGGTGTTTAGGCGGACGGCACTACAACAAACAGGTACTCCGCACAGACTTGACAATGTACACGGGTATGTATAACTAAAAACACTGAAACCGCGCAAAAAAAAGAGCTCGATTTAAAAGATTTGTTCCATAATAGCATCCACGCGCCTGTTAATCTTCAGAGTCCAGAATTAAACGTCATCTGACAGAAGAGTGTCCTTGTCCCGGTGTTGAGTGTAAGGTGAAAAAGTTGCTTCACTGCTGCTGTCGCTCGATGCTACTAGCAAAATCAGGCCGACTATGTCACCTAATAAAGATTGTCCTTACTAAGTCTGGCAGCAAATGTCCCTTAGGCGATATCACTCCGTACTTCTCCGCGTCTCATTCCCCCTTGCTGTGAGCTTCCTTAAACCAACGAAGCGTTGCGTGGAATCAGGTGCCAGTTGGGCTCACCTTGGCGTCACGTGACACGTGTTGGCACATCTTTGTGTTTCTCATGGCCGACGGCTGACGGCTACTCTGTCTCTTTTGTATGTCGATGACAGCAGTTGTGCATGTAGAAACACGCCTGCATTTGTAATGTTATAGTGGACAAGCCCAATGAGGCATATTTAAGGCTTCAAAGCGAGATGATCGCGTCGTTTACAGTCGGGGTTACAAAGATTAACCCTGTGGACAAGATAACTGCACATACTGGGCAAAATCAGTTTCAAAAAGTCGCATACCCCAAAGGTATATAACATTCTTTTGAAATAATGGGATTATATCACTGCTGAGAAGTTTGATTTCAATGCTTGGTGAAAATACAAGAAATTAATGCAACTGTTCGCTCGCTTGAAGCCAATTAAGTGAAGAAAACTGATCTGAAAGGTCTTGTGCTAGCAATATTTTTCAATGCACTGCCCATCTGCAATTTTATACCTTGATTGCTAAAGTGACACAGTACGTATTCTTGTTTCGTCATGCTGAACAGAAAGATCGATCTGACATTAAAGCACGTACGTACTAATACGTGTTTTTTTCAAGGTCTTCATACTTCAAAGAGACCGTATTGGCACTGTGTTCTACTCAATACAAGCAAGACAAATGACATGTCGCTTTTAATTTCAATCTCAGATCTTTTACCTAAAACCATTGAAACTTATTCAATGGTGGAATTGGGAGTCGCTTAAACATTCTGTGTTATCACCATTTTCCCACTTAAAAGCGAGTTTGTAAAGACATCAGTTTCTGATATTTGTCAGTTTGATAAATGCAACACCTGGCGTACAAATAGTCTCATTTAATTTTAATGTGACATAATTCACAATCACATTTTTAATAGCGGGCGGAAAAATTGAAAAATCAGAGCATTCAAACTTTTGCCCGGTGGCAGAATTGTTTCATAAAAAGCAGGTAAATTAATAAACTAATTAATAGTAAACGTATATGAAAATCAAAAACTAAATAAACAAATTAATACACATATAAAATACACTTGAGTAAACTAATTGATAGATTAGTGTTCAACCTTGAGTAAATAAGTAATGCATTTAACGTCAATAAATACTTCTAAAAGAATAAAAAAAAAGGAAAGGTGATTGTGTGCCGTTTTTTTTTCATATTAATCGAGTGGGGAATATAATGTAAACAAATGGGCTCCTAATAACTCGGCGTTGAAATATTTGTATTAAGAGTAATGTGTAGTGGGAAATACACGGAGATAAAGCAGCACGAGAAATTTTACAACATAGAAATATGATTGTGTTAGCTGGGACTGAGTTGTGAGTTTGGGATTGCTGCCATTGCTTATGTTTATAAGTGTCAGGTAACATAAGCGAGACGGTCTACCTCTTTGTTTCGAGCCACTGGTTTCTTGGACAGAAGACGTCATCAGAGTGTGCATGTATGTGTGTACGCAATTTCACGCAATCTGTTTAATATGTGCTAATTAGGGGCGGATGGAGGCTGTCTTCTGGGTTTTCCGGAAGACGGTAAAATTTCTAAGTTTACATTGATTAGTACCTAATTTTTTCTGTCGGAATACGGTAAAAAAAATGGAAGATGGATCAACAAAGATAATGTGGAAGTATGTCAGAAAATATCTCTGGATCCGCCCCTGTGCTTGTATTCCATAAGCTTCACGTACACTGTATGTATTTCCTACTAACGTGTCTTCCAATACGAGTACCCGGTACACATTAATGTAACTTAGCATTATCTTGTTTAGCTCACAGCTAAGGGATTAACATTTTGACATTACTAAATCAAAAGACTGACTCAGTTATCTAATTAAATGGTTAATTCATATAACAACCGGGAGAAAATACGTATTGGTAGCAACTACAGAACATTAAACTTTTTTTAAAGTTGCTGTTGGTGACTGTCTTGGATTTTCTCTGAGCGATTTTATTAAAAAAAACTTATAATAGGGTGTTATCCACCTGGAATATACATGTAGGACAGTGTCCAGATTAAGATTAATTTTTAACTACCTTTTATAAAACTGTCCTGTTCCGCACAACCTGCCACCGCTGATATTTGTGTATTTCTACCCCCAGTAGTTACATAACCATATTTGAGCATCGTGTGATTCAGTTTGTCAAACAAAGCCTTATAAGGTTTTATCAAGAGGGACTTAAATGTGTTCGTATACACTGTACCCCAGTATATACATATACGAGGTCAGAATTTAAATGGACTGTGAGTACTCAAGACCCGCATTAGTACACAGTGTAAATGTGCTGATCTCATTGACATCAAGGCAGGTTTTATTGCAATTTGTCTTTTTTAAAACAAACATTTAAACGAATTACATGCAGTCAGTCCAATGCACACTGGTGCTGGGGTGTCAGAGTAACATTGAAATGGTTCTCCAGCAATCTTACATCCGTACTCTTAGCCACGCTGTGTTTAATAAGATATGATGGAACGACAGGCCTTGAAAATAAACGTGGCTTGAACCCCCCTACCCTTCCGTCTTAAAAAAAGGGAGAAAAGATGGATAAAATAATAATCTGGTAGATTAATGAACCTGAAGTCAACTTATAAAATACGCAAATCAGATCTACATTGAAGGTGATTGAATTAAGCAAGCTAACTCTACTGTCAGCTCTATCCGAATCACTGGTACTTTAAATCAATCACCTGTCAACGGTTAGAGTTGTGTATTAGTCCACGTCCTAGTTAACCAAATATGGACAAGCGACCCAGTTTTGTTGTTTGACGTTATCGACAGGGGCTCGTACATTGTGTGTGTGTTCTCTTGGATAGTTGAGATCAGCATTAAAATGGGCTGGTGTGACTTAAGCCCCTTTCTGTGTACATAATGCAAGGGTGGTGTTGGCATTGATATAAATTCAGGTCTCTGGCGGTGCTTTACTATAGTTTTTTCAGCACGAAGTAGCGAAAGGTATCGAGCAAGACTCTTGGGACATTGACTTGCACGCGCTTAACATTATACCAGAACTTGTGCTTGTGTTAGAGAAAAACGTCAGTAATAGTTGAAATTTAACCGACAGAATACACTGAGCACGTTAAGTGCATTATATCATATAAAAATATAACTGTGGAGAAGTTGAAGAGAATACTACGTCAGCCGTGCACGTGCAAAAGAAGGGCAACAATGACGACTCTCGTTTGTCTCAAAGTTCTATTGTGCGCCGCTTTCTCGTCCACAATTGCGTCAGGGCAGGAGGTGCATGTAAATTTTACTCTGGGTGAGGTCGTAGGAATGACAGAGACCTTGAGCAACGGTCAGCAGGTTGTTAAATACATGGCTGTCCCCTACGCAGAGGCTCCCGTGGGGGATCTTCGCTTCCGCAAACCGGTGCCAAAGGCAGCGTGGGAATGGGTTTTAAATGCCACGAAAGAAGGGCCGTCGTGTGTGCAAATGATGGACCCAAGTCTAAGCCAGTTTATTGAAAATACGGACATATCCGAGGACTGTTTACACTTGAATATATACGTTCCAGTCTCGACGAGTAAAGCCCCCAAAGCGGTGATGGTTTGGTTTCATGGGGGTGGGTACGCTTCCGGTCAGGGATCTATGTACCCCTGCAGCACGCTAGCAGCTCATGGAGACATCGTCTGTGTTACCATTAACTATCGAGTTGACATTCTGGGATTTCTCTCAACGATGGACGAAAATTGTGTGGGGAATTTCGGGCTCTGGGACCAACACGAGGCCTTAAAATGGGTGAAAAAGTACATTAGCGCATTCGGCGGGGATCCCAATCGCGTGACAATCTTCGGCCAGTCGGCTGGCGCGGCGTCCGTGATGTTCCAGCTGGTTTCTAAGCACAATATTGGTGTGTTTCAGAGAGGCATAAGTGAAAGTTCAATGACCATGTCCAATGGCTACAGCATGGTACCAGGGAACGACGCACGAAATTATGCCAAAAGCGTTGGTTTTGCTGCTGGTTGCAACACGACTGATAACCCGGATCTTTCGGACAGCAAACTTCTAATAGATTGCCTGAGAAGAGTACCTGGGGAAAATTTTCGAACAATATCTATGACAACGTACGGTCCTGTTTTGACTGGACATGTAATGAAAATACCGATTGGTCCGGTTGAAGATGGCGATTTCGTCCCATTAGGCCTAAAAGAATATTTTAGTTCAAACGGACAAAAAGGGCAGTTTACAGAAATCGATCAAGTGTTCGGTAGTTTTGACTTCATGGTGGGAACGACCTCTGAAGAAGCAAATCTGATGGTTTCGATGTGGGCGGGTCTTGCGATTGCTTGGAACATTAGTATCTCAAACGGACTTCCCGAAGACAAAATAAAAATGCTGCTTGAAGATCACCTAGACGTTTACTATCCAAAAAATAGAAAAGAGAGCGAGATCGCCATCAACGAAGTTTATTTCAAGGCTGACGATCGGGTAACAAACACCCTCGCTCTAAGGGACATGTTTACGCATATGTTCTTTACAATCCATTCTCTGCAGTCCTGCAACGCCCACAACAACGCGCTGACATCTCCAAATGAAGCGCAGAATGCACAACGTAGCACGTACATGTATGAATTCTCTCACCATCTTAACGGCACTTCATACTTGGAAATGATTTCGGAAGCATCGTCGCCATTTAAACTTCCTGATTGGGTGGAGGGAGCAACGCATGGAGAGGAGTTACCGTACTTATTTGGGTTCGAACGTTATGGCAAGGCATTGAATAGATCAGAATTGTGGAATGCGAAAGACCAAGAGATATCCGAAGCCGTGATGACGTACTGGACGAATTTTGCCAAAACTGGGTAAGATGAGTTCATGAATAGAATATTGGCATGTACAAGTAAAATTTAGATAATATAATATCCATGATAAACGCTGTATTATGAATAAAGAGCTCAGTCCCGCGTCTACTACAAGGAATGCGACACAGTGAGAGAAATCGAGACACATAGAATATTATTATTTTAATGGATACATAATACATATATTTTGTGTATTTTGATCATTACATTTGTTATTTGACATCTTTAGACAGTTTGGAGATCACTGGTTCTATCAATAATAATTTTTTCATTGTTGAGAATATTATCTTCTATGATTTTCTTACACTATCTAGAAATATACGGCTGTGTATATTGGTTGGCGAAATATTAAAAATGCAAAACCATAAAATACTGGTATACATCTGTCATAATTTTCTTATAATAATTTCATTTTTAGGAACCCCAATTTGGGCAACACGACAACAGATGTCACTACAAGTACACTACCCATATGGAACCAATACAGCCCCAACACCAAGTCATATCTGGACATCGGTGACGTCATAACTCCGAAGCAAAATCCCCTCCCAAATTTCATGGAACTGTGGTTAAAGAAGATACCGGAAATAATGCAGAAAACTACCCCGGCGAGTAATGGAAAAACGAACACATTAGATAAACAGTGTGTGCTGGTGTTTTGTGTTTATCTACTGTGGTCATACTTCCATTATACTTCATAGAGGTATACATGTACCTGCTACACAGATGCGTAATTGTGTATGCTTTATGATCCCTTCAGCGTTTCACTTAGCCTCTAAGTATCCTCTAAGTAAAATTTAGTATTTAATTTGTATTTGGGGCTTGAAGTGCTATTATCTGCATTCATGACGAAATAAAAGTTAAACTCTACCTGCTGCAAATTGATACATAAATATACAGTGGCGGATTTAGAGGGGGGTCAAGCGGTGTCCTGATCCCCCCTTCGGTTTCTGAAAATGTATCACACCAAGATTCCCCTTTTGAAATTAGAATTTTGACTAGCTAAAGCATAGTTCTAAACCGTACCAAAGGGCAGTTTGCTCTCCAAAACGCCAAAAATATTTCGGAGCCCTTGAGCAGGCCAGAACCCCACACCAAGGGGGCGATGGTTTGCTTCGCATCCGAGGACTGTCGTTCCAGACCCCCCTTCAAATAATTCTGGATCCGCCCCTGAATATAAACGAAAAAAATGTAGGAATATGTTGCTTATTTTACACAGCAGTGAGCAATTTTTCTTAATGCACCACAGTGGAATACATGTACAACTGTGTAGGGAATAAGGTGTGGTATTCGAATTTCACTATAATTTCTTAAATGTTTTAACTACGAACTGAATGCTTTACTTCTCCGTCTGCTGTTTACTGAGTGACTTATAATTGTGGACTTTATACATGAACTAAGTTTTAAGTGATAACCAAAAGGGCTCTCATATTCATTCTCGACTTTGGTAAAATACGGTAAATAATAGAATTTGTAAAATTCATTAGATCATGGTAACCTCTGAAGTGTTCACAATATTTCCATACTCTAGTTATTACTAGAAACCAAAAAAACTGAGGGTATATATTAAGATTCTCTGCCATTACTCGATGTTACCGTATGGCTGTTACTGTATTATCACTACATAATATTACTATTGTCGCTTTTTTGTCAGCCTGATTTCTGTGATTACTTCAACTACGTGCAACTATATTGTTGATTATTATTAACTGGATACTTTATTATAAATAAAGGATTTAATTTGAAACCCGTCGTTGAGATTGAAAATACGATAGTTTTATACCGGTGGTTTTATATAGTAGCAAGTTTAATTCAACATCGACTGAAAAAAAACGTCTTAAAAGCATGTGCTATATATTATTATTAAAATCTGCTAGATAGGTATCACGTAAGCATTTTATTTCTATGAGGTACCTCAAACCTGCTTGGGACGTAGAATGAGAAATCAATATAACTTCCATGAAAAAAGAGCATACATGAATCGTTTTAGAACTCCATCGAACTGCACCCCCTTGACATAGCAGCATGCCTGGGTAGAACCACACCTAGACGTCACAAGAGCAGAACTCTACGATATTGCAAACACCGCACAAACCGCCCCCGCACCCCACTCATACAAAAAAAAAATCACGCATACAAAAAAAACTGAATGTGGGGAAAAAGAAAAAAAAAACAGTAGCACTTATAGACAGATTATTAACTAATTACCGAGCATTTGTTGATTAATCAGTGGATATTTATCAAATTCTAGACAATTTAAATTTACGCCGTTTTTGACCTATCCTGAAATTTTCATTAAAACACACTCATACCTTTTTGAGTTAAGCTGGTGATGAACCAACAGATAAACAACCAAATAAACCAACAAACAATGAGCTGAATTGTCATTCATAATTCATTAATCAAGAAATGAATCAACAAATTAACTACTGGTAACTCAATTATCAAAATTTACTGATAGATATGATGTGGCATTAAATGAATTATTACACTTCATTAATAAATTAATCGACACTAAACTCTATAACCTATTCTGAAAATATCATCTAAATCCCTCCTGAACTTAGAACACAATGTTGCAGACAGGCATACAGACTTTATTAATGGGTAAAATTATTATAATTAATCAACTAAGGAATGAACCAATGAATCAATCAATCAATCAATCAAGTTATCATCTCCCAAATCTAATCGTTTGCTACTATGTCCCCTTCCGATATTTTCTGAAAACATCATCAAAACTTCCCTAATACAGTTTTTCCTTAATTTTCCTAACAGATAAATGTAATAAACAAACAAACCGCACTAAAGTCATAACCTCCCCAGCGAGGTAAAGTCAGACCGGTGGAGACTTCGCATCTGCAGGCCTCCCCCCCTTCAAATAATCCTGATCCGCCCCTGATATATTTACAGATAAATCAGTGGAGTGGAAGGTATTTAGTATGAGGTGCACCGCCACAGAAAAATATATCAGTGCACCAGTGTCACATTTCACCGACTACGTGCATGCATGTATAGAAATAAACGAACAGTTAAATAAAATAAACAAATAAATGAATAAACCAGGAGCCAACACAAAATCGAAAGGTGTTTAGTAAGCGGGCGAACGCCACTGTTCAACACAAAGCAAATACACCTGAATCAAACGTACAAGGATTTGTATCGATCACAGCTGATATTTTGGGTATTTTTTGTCACAGTGATCTAGTTATTTGGATATACAAACAACACGTCAGACAAAACCATATACGGTATTATCGCGGTAGGGACTTGAATGTGTCCATATATGTACATCTACGAGATCAGTCTTTTTAAAATGGATTGTAGATTGCTGACAACTATACTTGTGTACACAATATGATAATGCTTATATCACTGCTATCGGCAGCTCTCTGCAGTTTTCCTTGACAGTCATTGCACTGCCTACCAAAGGTCGCGCGCGCGTGTGTGTATATATGCGTGCGTGTGCGTGGGTTTGTGGGGGGCATGTAAACACATTCATTAACAAGAGAATAAACATGGGCTTCGTGAAGTTAGATTTTACTGGAGGCACTGCATGGTTTGTAAAAAATACCCCCCCCCCTTCTAAAAAGATAAATAAAATAAACTCACATACGAAAAAGCAAAAGTCAACTTAATCAACATGTACATAAACCAGATCTTATTAAGGTGTTTAGTAAGCGAGAAGACGCTAAATATAGCGTCAACACAGATCGAATACACGTGAATCACAGGTACGTGTAATTCAATCGATCAACTGCCATTTCTTTTTAATCGCCGTGACATAGATGACCATATTTGGACGCACAAACAAGTTAGCCATATTTGGACATGTCAAACTAAGGCAAATACGGCAATATGTGCAGGGACATATATGTACATGTGTGCCTGTATGAGATAAGCATCTGAATGGACTCTATGCCTTGTGGACCCCTATACTCTAATCACACACTACTGGTGTACTGCATGTAGTCACATTGTACTGCATGTAGTCACACAAGGTACATGTAGCTCTTCGCGGTTTTATTTTTGACAGACTGTCGTTGCACTCTTTACCGGTGCTGGTGTGTTTGCATGTGTTCGTGTACATGTACGCGCGTGTGTAGGAGGATGCACGTGCATTTTTTGCAACAGAAAAATACGACTATTGAATTACATCTACTGGAGACACAGGTGTAAAAATATATCCACCACCCCCCACCCCCCCCACCAAAAAAGAAAATAATAATAATAATAATAATAAAAGAAAGAAAGAAAGAAAACATATAGAATATTTAAATAAAAAAAATCAAATAGATAACTAAACCAACAGTCAGCCTAAACTACTTTAATCAGCTCTAATTTGAAGGTGTTATACGTAAGCGAGCCAACGCTTAACTGTATCAACACAGACCAAATACACCTGAATCACAGCTACATGTATTTAAATCGATCGTCTGCCATCCCTGATATAAGTGTATTTTTAGTCCCCGTGACCTATTTAACCATATTTGAGCATACGGTCGCACGATTCAGCTTGTCAAACAAAGGCCAATACGGTATTATCGGCGCAGGGGGCTCAGTATGTGTTCATATACGTGAGATCAGCATTTAAATGGGCTATGGCTTGTGATTGCCTACACTCTGTTCACCTAATCTCACTGATATAAAGCAGCTCTCTGCAGTTTTTTTTTCGTGACAGCTTGTCAACACAAGTTGAGAACACGACCGGTGAAGACTCCAGCTACAGTGAGTTGCACGCACTACAACTGTACTAGCACTGTATATGTTATAGTTTACACAAACAATCTACCTGTGGTTGTGTTAGAGCTAAACGTCAGTTGAACCTAGGCCTTAAGACAGTAAACAGTTGGCACGTTGAGCGCTGTATAATATAGGAGAAGGTAACTGTGGAATAACATACCGAGTAATGGTGCATTACCAGCAACGTAATCAGTGCACATGCACCAACCAGGCAACAATGGCGGTTCACGCTTGTCTAATAGTACTATTGTGCATCGTTATATCGCCAACAAGTGCGTCCGAGCAGGAGGTTCGCGTTAAGAGTAAACTTGGTGAAATAAAGGGAATTACGGAGACCCTGAGCAATGGTAAGCAGGTTGTTAAATACATGGCTGTCCCCTACGCAGAGGCTCCCGTGGGGGATCTTCGCTTCCGCAAACCGGTGCCGAAGGCGGCGTGGGAGGGGGTCTTAGATGCGACGAATGAAGGACCGTCGTGTGTGCAAATGCCTAACCCTACCTTAAGTCAGTTTATTGAAAATACGGACATCTCCGAGGACTGTTTACACTTGAATATATACGTCCCAGTCTCGACGAGTAAAGCCCCCAAAGCGGTGATGGTTTGGTTTCATGGGGGTGGCTACGCTTCCGGTCAGGGATCTATGTACCCGTGCAGCACGCTAGCAGCACACGGAGACGTCGTCTGCGTTACCATTAACTATCGAGTTGACATTCTGGGATTTCTCTCAACGATGGACGAGCATTGTGTGGGGAATTTCGGGCTTTGGGACCAACACGAGGCCTTAAAATGGGTGAAAAAGTACATCAGCGCGTTTGGCGGAGATCCCGATCGCGTTACAATCTTCGGCCAGTCGGCTGGCGCGTCGTCCGTGATGTTCCAGCTGGTTTCCAAGCACAACGTTGGTCTGTTTCAGAGAGGTATCAGTCAGAGCTCAATGACCATGTCCAATGGCTACAGCATGGCCCAAGATGCCCAAGATTTCGCCAAAGATGTCGGCTTCGCTGCCGGTTGCAACACGACTGATAACTCAGATCTGTCGGACCATAAACTGTTAATGGACTGCCTGAGAGAAGTGCCCGAGGAAAATTTCCCTAACATAACTATGGCACTATACGGACCTCTTATGACTGGCCATGTAATGAAAATACTAATTGGTCCGGTCGAAGATGGTGATTTCGTTCCATTTGGAATAAAGGAATATTTTGCTTCTGACCAACCGGACAAAGGGGGATTTTCAGAAATCGATCAAGTGTTTAGCAGTTTTGACTTCATGGTGGGCACAACATCCGAAGACAGTAATTTGATGGTGTGGATGTGGGCGGGGCTCGCAGAGTCCTGGAACATTAGTCTCTCAGACGGACTACCCGAAGACAAAATAAAAATGCTGCTTGAGGATCACCTGGACATTTACTATCCAAAAAATCAAAAGGACAGCGCGACCGCCATCAACGAAGTTTATTTTAAGAGTGACGATCGGGTTAAAAACGCCGTCGCTCTAAGGGACATGTTTACGCATATGTTCTTTACGATCCATTCTCTGCAGTCCTGCAACGCTCATAAGAACGCGCTGATATCTCCAAATAAAGCGCAGAATACACAACGCAGCACGTACATGTATGAATTCTCTCACCATCTTAGCGGCACTTCATTTATGGAAATCATGGCGGAAGCATCGATGCCTTTGGACCTCCCTGACTGGATGGAAGGAGCGACGCATGGAGAGGAGTTGCCGTACTTATTTGGGTTCGAGAAGTATGGCAAAGCATTGAATAGATCAGAATTGTGGACTGCGAATGACCAAGAGATAGCTGATGCCGTGATGACATACTGGACAAATTTTGCCAAAACTGGGTAAGATGAATTGACTGATTTGTGAGTTACCCGGTACAATATTGGTATATAGTTTTTTTAATATTGCATTAAATTGACACAAACATTTTGTGCACATTTATAATTGTATCGGTATTTTAAGCCATTGTTTTAACATTTTTAAATCATTGTCTTAATGTGACAGGTTCTTTTAACTTTGTCATTTGTCTGTTTAGTTGATAGATTTACTGTCTTGTTATGTAACATTTTAGATGCCGTCTGAAATCATCTTTATTTGAAGTATTGATGCCATTTTTGTGTACTTTTTAATCTAATATATATTCCAATGAAATATTAATCCGTGATAAATCTGAAATATAAATATTTTTTCAGGGATCCCAATTTGGGTGACACGACAACAGATGTCACTACGAGTACACTACCCAGATGGGACCAATACAGCCCCAACACCAAGTCATATCTGGACATTGATGACGTTGTAACTCCGAAGCAAAATCCCTACCCGAATTTCATGGAACTGTGGTTAAAGAAGATACCAAAAATAATGCAGACAATTCCTGCAAAGAATGATATGAACAAAAAAACTGAACTTTGACGTTAAATATCAGTCACATTTTCTATAGAAATCTACATCTACATGAATGTTTTACAGATTTTATATACGAAATGGCGTGATACAATTCAAACTCTGAAATTCAATCCTCAAGAACTCCAAGGTGGAACTTGTGGCATTACAGAAGCAAAGCAAATTTCTCAAACATTAGTACAATCGGTTCAATATTTACCTAATATAAATGCTTTATCTCTTTTATCAAATCATGTGGTATTTCCCTTGAATTTCTTAATAAGAATTGATAAGTTTCTTAGATTTTAGGACTAATACTCATTTATTAAATGTTCAAAATATTGTTTGAAATGTTGACTCCTTGAAAGTGCATTACATTGAAACATGGGGTACTATGTTAATAAATCACAATTATTTTGTAAGTCAATAAGTACCGAACCTCAGTTTGGAATCGCTTGAATGCGTACACATTGCCCCATAGTTTGTACGCTACAGTGCCGGGGGAAAAACAGTGCACATAAAGATATAACCATTTAAGAAAGTGTCAGCGCTTGAGTTATAATCCGTGCAAATATGCTTTGCTTGAGAACGCCCCACCTTGAGAACTTATGACCCGTTAAGCCCAAAAACTTTGTTGTTCATGCAACATCTTTATTGACATTCTCTAGAACGCACGTGAAAGTTTAAATAGACTATGTTCCAAGGTAAATGTAAATGATGATGGCTTAAGATTCAGTTAAGGGGTCTTGTGCTGGGTCTCACCATACATCGTCAGCATGCTCTTTGGTGGCTGCATGTTAAGACCTGCATTGTATTTTTGATTTCAACTCTTCTACTCCGCGAACAGAGAAAATCTAGATTCTGGTTTCAATAACATGGGTAACGGTGTGACTTATAGAGAGAAATATGCTTTAATCTAGGCCTTTGGTTAATCTTTTAACTGTACATTAAACGGATTAAAGCTTCCAATTGGTGCTTTTTAAATCATGTGTCCTAACTTAGACCCTATTCCCAGAACAGCACTTGGTAAGCTGTAAGCACATAATGCCCTTGCTTTACACTGCTTTTATTTCGCGTTTTAATCTAAAGAAAACACATGTTGAATTTTTCTCCAGACGAAATTCCGATAAGTCACAGGCTCTATAGTGCAGCACGCGTCTTTTTTTCGAACATAATTGCAAAAGAAAAAGAATGTCGAAAACAGATCGTTCTTCTCTCCTAACCCTTGTGCACCTTTTTTTTCATCATGGACCTCCGGGATGGTTAAAACCATTACTCGCCATGTATTTAGGCGCCTCATCTTGCGCATGCGTTATGCCATTTGGATGCACGTGATCTTCTGCGTGACTTACGGTGCCATTTGTCATCGACTGTGGGTGATCAATAGCGGTCATTTCCTGCAGTTTTTGCTTTTCTAGCATGTTCTTTCCCTTCTTGCTGTTGTGTATGCTGTACAGGAAATATATAAGAAAACCTAAAAGAGAATATTTTGACTTTAGCAAACCTTGCAAAGAGGTACAAAAGCAATAACATTCTAGGTACATATGTGGGCATTCCAAAATATAAAATTAAAAAAGGGGGTTTCAAGGTATTCAACACAAAACATTATTTTGAACCAAATATAATATTAAATCATCTTTCTCACTTCTTAGTGTGAAAAAAACGTGCATACAGTGTGTAGAAGCCACAGTACCCAGTTAACACCCGTCCTTACCTACAAGTAACCACACCCCCAATCTCGCCCACGTCAAAGGAGGCAACTTGAGCATTAGGTAAATGTTGATGAACATGGCGCCGGCTGGGAGGTATGGAACAGCTGGTGCCATAAACTGGAATTTTCTCCTGAGTGAAGGAAAAGACACAACATATTGTATATTTTTATAACGTTATGCACGTGAAAATAAACAGCCACCGAAGCTGAAAAAGTAACAGGTTCAAAAGTAACAGGTTCGTCGTTTTATAATGGGTTCGCCTTACAGTCTATAAGGGGCCATGAGACTACAAGTAAAATTGGCTTTATATTGGGACAGTTGTCCTGATGTACGGTATGTTGATTTCCTTACAAGTGTAGCATTCTGCTCCTTGCAGTATATGTACATGCAAGTTCTCAGTTATTGCTGAACTTGACCAACTATTAGATCATAACGCCATATAAATTGTAAACCAACTTATTATGTTTTAAAATTATACTCCACATGATGTACATCGTACCCACCTATTCATTGGCTGTCTCAAAATGGTAAACACTCCGGCCGCTATGACCAGAAGTAAGACAATAGCTAAAATGATAGCCCAAGCAGCGCCATCTATAATATATTCGCCGCCAAAGTCGACCAACAGGCAAAACATAATCATCACCAGAAACATCACAGCCACAGTTATGATAACAATCCGTGCACTCCTGTCACTAGGTTCTGCCTCATCTCCAGGTATACCAAGATGCATTTTGATAAGTTTACAATTTCTTTTGAACCATCCAAGTCTTTGCATGTCATCCTCAAATGGAACGCTACCGTATGAAGACGATTTCCCATCACCCTGGGAGGGCAAGAGGAATTCGTCGTCTTTGTATTTTTGTCTTGTTCCGTCGCCAAAATCCGGGTCCCTACCCGCAGTGTACTCCAGATCCGGGCCATCAACTTGCTGCGGAACTACTACTTCCGTATCCGGTTGATATCGCAGGATAAGTATAGATATGGAGACCAACGTATAAGCCATCAGTGTACCTGTAATGCAAGGTGGGAAAATGTACTTTATCCTTAAGTTAAAATATTTTTTCTGTCGGAAGACAATTAATAAATGGAGGATGGATCAACAAAGACAAATTGGAAAAAATATCCGTCCAAAAATATCTCCGTATCTGATTATTCTCTTTTGTGACATACTAGTAATGGGGTAAATATAAGACCTTTAATAACAGGGCTGTTAAATATTTCAACAGCAACAAATTTCGGGAAAAAACGTCTCTGGCAAAGCGTATGTGTGTACCTACCAATTGACATCATCTGGACCAGAGTGGACAAACCAACCAGCATGGCGATAAATGACGCTAGCACCCCAGAAACTATGGTGGCAAGAAGTGGCGTTTTGGTCCTGCTGTTTATTCTTTCTAAAAACCTGCATATTGATATTGAAATATATATATTTAATTTTTAACTTGTTTATATCATACTCGGTTATTCAAATTGCATCATGAAAATGATAAATCTCAGAAATGTTGCATGAAATCTTGAAATAGATCAAAAGCTTCCTTATATTCTCCTTGACTTTTCATATGATAGGTTCACTACTCTTAACAAACATTGAGTATACAAAGAACTACAATACTTAGGACGGTCTTTAAACTATGTTTACAACTTACTCAAATAACAGGCCGTCTCGAGCCATTGCATATATTACTCTAGGCATAGGGAACATCGAGCCCAGAAGACTGACAGTGAGAGCACAGATAGAGCCGAAAGCCACCACGTATTTGGCCGCATCCAGAGCACCACGCTGAAATCATATTGAACGTTCTGAATTAAAACGTTTGGCGTGAATAGTAAGTATAAAAACAGTATATCATTGTAATGGAACACGAAAGGTAGAGATCTGTTTCAGAGGAGCATTGGATTTTCAAAAAAGTTGCCATGAGCAGTTAATCATTTTACACATACTTGCATCCCGTTCATTTTGTGCTTTCTTGAAATACACGCAGCAAGATGTTTATGGGTAAAAGCATGGAAATTGAAACTACACATTTTACCTGTGGCAATTCATTTCTTAAGTGATATCGGCAAATATTAAGAAACAGACAACAATTTTTAACAGAGAATTTCAATTGTAAACCGTGTTACAGAGCCCAATTATTCTACAGAGAAGATCGACCAAGGCCTGTTTCAACAGCGAATCACAACACAATTACATCTGCCTCCTCTGTCGCATCCTCACCTGAACAAACATGTCCACCAAGGCAGAGTCTCCATTGATCATGAAGTAAGGCAACATGAGTGTTAGGATCACGCTGACCGAGACATAAGCTGTGAGACACGTGAATAGCGACCCCACAATGGCTATAGGGATGCTCCTGCTCGGGTTTCGAGCCTCCTCACCCGTGGTGGCTATGATGTCGAATCCAATGAAGGCGTAAAAGCACGTGGCGGCACCAGATAAAACCTAATGACAAAACGTAACGCTTAAGATTATCAACATACATTCATATAATGATACAGATGTGAGTTATGTTGTGAAATTGTTAATCTGTCTCTGAAATATGAAAAGCTTTGTTTATGAATCAACGTTTGCAAATAGCCCAAGAACAGGAGGGAACCATCTACATTTTGTATATAGCGGATGTGTTCTGAATGTTAAGTCAGGGTTATGGTAGGTAAAATATATTATTTGATATTCAACCTTAGAATGTTCTGAAAAAGTATAGATCTTAGAGGTTTAAGATTTGAAAAGCGTCTAATTAAGATAATCTCACAGTTAGAGTTTGTTGTGCCAAAGTGTAAAGTGTTAATTAGCGTTAATACCAAACGCTAACCAGACTACAATTACTCACCCCTTTAAATCCATACGGCATGAAGCCATTCTGAGTCCAGTTCTTGCTGTCGACGTAAAATAACCCGCAGATCACAATGAACACCCAAACTGCGATGTTGATGGCGTTCAGAATGTTGTTGAACATTACAGATTTACTGACTCCTCCCGCCAAAACACAAGTCATTACAAATCCGATGAAAAAAGCGACGAAATCGGGGTACGGTCTCTCTAAAATAGTCAAAATATCTTATTATGGGTTCGCACTGATTTCTTATTTTTTTATAAATTGACCTTATACAAAATATTGTTTTGGTAGTTGCAAGGCGGGGTTCGGTCACATACCGTACACGTTTTCGAAAACCCGAAAGACAGATTTAAAGGGAAAAAGATACGTTCATTTTAAATTTAAAATAGGTAATCTTTTCGAATACACACAAAATTTCTACTGCCGAAGTACTGTGGAGTTCTGAACCTTTGCAGCATTGTCAAAGTACAGACATTGACACTTTTTTATTCTTAATTACATTAAATTATTTTTCTTACCAATAACAGGGGCTAAATGTGCAGCCATATATGTACTAACGGTGTGATTGGTAAGAGCATCCAGGCACGCGCTCAACGCGCACGCACCAGCTGCTGAGCCAATCATGTATTCCAATATGAGATTCCAACCAATCACAAAGGCGATGAACTCTCCCACTGTGACGTAACTGTACATGTAGGCGGAGCCTGTTGTTTTAGGGACGCGCACTCCAAATTCTGCATAACACACACCTGTAGATAAAGTAGGCATGGTTTAAAAGATGTGTGCACAGTTTAAGGGGGGAAAAGGAAATCTTTATTTTGCACGAAGTGCTGGTATAGTGAACATGCAGGGAACTGTTTTAACGAACTGGTCATAAAAGTCCATTTGTTTTGTGTCTACGGAGTCATTCTTGACAGAGATGATAGTGCACTGTGAAAGAAAAAGATATTTCAAATGAAAGTTAGGCCCAAATAACAAAAAGTCAAACGGTTAAGGAATCCTTCAAACAACATACTGACGGACACTGGTGTAAATCTTTTTCACATGCAGTGGACCCTGTTTCTAATCTTTTCTAAAAATAGGCAGAATGTATTAACGTCTTACTGGGATATTGCAGAATGTTACAATAAAGATATAACCAAGAGTTTGACAAGGAAAACATACAAGAAATCCCTCAGGCACATAAGAATATTACTTTTTTGCTTCCAATACCCGAGATGGGATTCAATGGAGATAGCACCGCTTCAGGGAATGTCAAATCCATTTGATCGAACGAGCAAGAAATATGAAATACTTGGAAAATTAGATTGCGAAGGGCATTTGACGTCATAGATAATAACGGTGCAAGGCAACATTGAAATCTAGTTATCTCAAAAGCACACATGAAAAAAAACGTTGTAAATTACAGAGAAGCTCGTTCACACTAGCTTGATTTTTGCCAGTTACGAGCCCGGGCATGCCAACAACATAGTCCGCGGCTTCTGAGATTTTCATTGCAAGTTTCGTCGAATATTTCGAGGGCTGGGAGTAGGTTTAGATGCAGCTCTAGGCTGTAGAATAATAAGATTATATCATGTAAGAAAATGGACCCGCAGCGTGTCGTTCAGAAATCAATTGATTTAGTCGCAGTTATAAAGAGATTGGTCGCTTTATTGTTTAATTGCGTGAAACTATGATACATGTATAATACAAGCATGTCGTGAAGCAACGACTTAATTGAGTCGCTATTCGTAGACATTCCCGATAAGTGATGTCGAAACAGCGTGATATAGTGCAATCAAGTCATACTCCACTGAATTAGGTTCAAAATGGCTTCATGTTGAGAGGTTATTGCATTACTAAAGAAGAGATGAAAATATAAAATCATTAAGACGTAATGCCAGAAACACCAGCAGGAATATGTGGACGGATTCGTCTGTCTTGGACAGATATATGTTTAAGATCGGGGATAAATCACAGTTCGGAAAAACTCAGAAATATTGAAATGTTTCACAGAAATATTGCCATCTGGCCTGGACAGCATATTAAGACGTGGTCGAAAAAAAGCTATGGGAATTATCTGAGTGTGATAATGTGGGACATGGGAAATCGTTTTGATGAAGGCGGTTAGATTACGGTCTGTTTGGGCTCCCACGCACTAAAGAATCGCCATGAATATAATGAGAAGTCATTTTTGATCTGACAATTCCTATGCAAAAATACTTCCAACTCATATGAGCCCAGAATGCGTGAAATACGCATATTTTTCTCTTGCTTTTCTTATGACAGGAAAAATGACAAAGTTCCTCAAGAACCAATCACTACCTTTCCACCTTTCACGTCGATACGGCGACGCTCTATTACTATTTAAAGATCTTTATTTGAATCTGGTCGATTGCAGGACTGTGTATTGTTTTTTTTATTATTATTATTTTCTAAAACCCTGATTATGTGGTGCCCCCGTACGGAGTGCTTCAAATCTTGCAGAAAACCATGGGGAAGGCTTCGATGAGTACCTCAAGTTTAATAAATAAGGGGCTCCAATCTTAATGAGCATTTTGTGAGCGTCTTCCAGTTACCCAAATGATTATTTCAGTTTTTAAAATTAACATCATTATTTCAATTAAATAAATATTAAATCATTTAATTTCATCTGATCACTTTAATGAAAATAATGTACATTGTGCCCTACGTACAATTAAACACAATACATTATGGCATCCGAAATAAGGAAAATCCAGCATTTTCCTGTGGTTTTCAAGAATCCCCTTGTTACTAACAAATCGCCACTCTTTTCAGCTACAAACCTTGATCAACCTTTTCCTTTAACATAAGTACTGAACTGAATGCCAATAGTTGTGGTTTTAAGGGATGCTGTTATTCACTGGTCATTTTGATCTCTAACAACTCTTTAATTCGTGTTCGTCCTAGCCCCCCCCCCCCCCCTAATCCAGCCAAAACACACGTTACAATGCATTTAATGGAAAGAAGAGTGAATGGGTGTTCGTAATATCTTTCCAGTCGGAATATCCCTCTTACACCTCCTTTTAAACGCCTCTGTGTGCCAAAACGGAGACAAAGAAAGCAGGACGCAAGACGTTTTAACGACCAACATGGAGCAGGGATATACAATTGACCTGCCTATTAGAACACAGACACAGAGCACTGAGCGGTCTTGCACTGATGTAAAACGCAAATAGATCAATGTAACGGAAGGCGCAATTGCGCATTGATTCTGTAGACCGCGCGCGTGACATGAATACGCCATTTGCAACTGGTGTTGCTAATGGCCTGTAAAGTTAACCGCGTTCACACACTTCAGCTCAATGGATCCCGTTAAGTGAGAAATATCAGAGATACTTCAGCGCGGGTGTGTTTGAGTTGCACATTGGTACGACGCCAATGGGTTTTATGTATGTTTATCCCCAAAAAGCCGACATACTTCTTCGTGATGCTTCTAAGACACTTTGATGATCGACTGGAAATAAACGTTCTAATAGGAAGTTGTTTAAAACGTAGCTGTCTAACAGAAACAAATGAAATCCACTGCATCAGATGTCTCCGGTATGTGGTTATTCCCACCCCATAATAGATGATTTCGATTATAAAATTTCCGGCATTTTGAAAAAACCAATTTCTTTTACAAATTTGGAACCAGAACGAAGTGCTGCCATATTCATAACAAATAACTACAATTAATTTTTAAAGATATAAGCATATGATTAAGCAAGTTGTTTTATGTCTGTTATGTACCTAACACGGGGGTTTCCTGTGAGTATCAGTGTAGCTGAACTATGGTTCACCCCACCTACCCTCCACAGTCTCTTCTTTAAGTCATGAAGCGATGGGTTTTCATTGCAAATGCACAAAATGACCACTTAAACAAGACCAACATGTCCGGCATGAGAAAACATCACGGCATCAAGCAATCGACTCTTACTCTTGTTCCCAAAAGAACCGGGCGTATCAATCAAGACCATCCAGTTGGAGAACCATACCAAGACAGTGAGTATATCTGTACACAAAATATACCTATAAAACAAATACATTAAAGTTGTGGGGGCGTTTTTCGTCGAAACCTGTTTAAAGTTCCCTTACAAAATGGTTGTTTTAATCGATTTGACTGTTTTAAGCTGCGATGCACAGGTGTACCAGTACATGCCAACCTCATATTTAATGGCTGTATGTTTCATAACACATGACAGTTTGTTTGGTTTTCCATTAACCTTCTCGTAATGGTAAAAAGCCATAATGGTCCCTTGTTATGGCGTGATAGGACCAGTTGCTAAATTGCAGGCAGTTTGTCAGTTCTATCTTTACATCCAGACTAGACTCTATGCGAAATAAAACACCTGTACGGTTTTGTTAACAGATTATCCCGCTTAAGTCAGCTTAAATAAATAAAATACATCTATTGCACTACTATAAAAGTTGGCCGTCAATGACGAGTTTCCTCAGAACTTCAACTATCTGACATGACTTGCCCATTTGGCGTTTTCTTTACAAATGTGAGAGATTAAGAATGCCAAACCATACGTATATTTATATAAATCAAAATAGATGCTGCTCAAAGAAGACGCACAAATGAACACTTTTTGAAAAACGCCACTGTCGCCGCTATTGATCTAACCATTGTTGGTATATTTGTTGATGTTGGCAATGTAAACAAAGAAAGAGCTTTATATCAATACTAGAAAATATTTTTCGCTTACTGAAACTTGCGCATTACTAAGAACAAATGCAAGGATTGCATTGTTTTGGCATACTTAGTAAAAAAAAGTACACAATGTGACTTCCTCTCACCAAAGCTGCCTGCTGAAACTAAAAAAAAAATAACGTGGAACATCGTGAAACAGACCTGTCAGTCATTATGACGTCAGTCATTATGACGAATATGTTGGTTTCATTTTTTCTGGAATCACTGAACAAAATTCTTTTAAAGAAAAACCACGTGTATGGTGTCCGTGGGGTACACGATGCCTTCCGTCTATGACAACTGTTCTTTAAAATGTTCTGACGGCTTTCCATTAACAGCGTTAAAACAGATCAATTATATCTAGATTAAAGGAGAGAATCATGTTAGAAAAGACCGGCAGAGAACAAGGCTTCTGGCAGACACCAACGCAGTGCGTCGGCGGGTAATTGTTATTTAAAATCAATAACCCTTTCGGGATTGATGGTTCAGTACACTAACGTTCTTTCCATGAGACCACAGAGTTTATCTTCATCATAACCACCTCATAACGATAGCAATCACTACCGGAAGCCTGCTTAGTGGTTCCACAAAATGCAACTGTAACTGTGAGAGTATGAAAGGACTGAAAACGCAATTAAGATTTGTTTAAAGTAACGCATGACCGTCATTTAATTTACTCTAATTGCCACACTGTAAAATATATTTCTACAATCTGAAAATCTGGATATAAATTGTTGAATAATTACATTTAGGAAAATGATAATAACATGTCCAGTGATTAACTTGTATGAATAACTATACACCTGACCTAATTCTGAGCCAGGTTTTCAAAAAAGTTCATGGATTCCGATAAAATATTTGGCTACCACAGGGAACTATATAATATGTCGCAGTTTGAGTATTCTTCGTGTCTCTAAACAAAGGTTTCTTCGTTTGGGGATTGCGTTCTGGTTTCGCTGATGCGACGCATATGCACACTACATCTGGATGTTTTTAGAGCTGTACACGCAAGTAAAATGTGCCAGGCGCGTGTAGTGCGTCCCTGGTGGAATGGGTCAAGAACCGTCCTGTGCT